ATCTTTATGTCACTGGTACCTAAAAATACCACATCCAGCAACTCCTCCCCAGCACTACACATAAGTCTATCTAGATGTCTAGAAAGATCTGCAACTTTTGCACCAGGTAGGAAAGTCACCCTATGGTTCATCCAGCTATCTACATTTCTAATGATCAAATCCCTCCATTACTAACACCTGCCTTTTCCTAATGACTGGAGTTCCCTTCCTTGAAGAGGTATCCTCAGTGCGAGAGGATACTGCAACATCATCCAGCAGAAGGGTCCCAACTAAGGGATGGTTTCCCTCTGCTCCAGATGAATGTTCTTTGATTAAGAAACCAAGAAGAACATTACAATTTCACATTTTTCATTGATTCTCTTAGAGACAATTAAATAAGAAATAAAAGCTGTTCACAGTGTTGAAAGACATTATCTTGTTTACAGTTGGCTTTTTTACCCTAACAATATTGCTCAATAGACTTGTGCATGGAATTATAAGCAACTTATCTTTCTGCAATATTTTGCCTTTGAATTGTTTCTTGGTATTTTCACATGTGGAATACTGTCTTTTGGACACTTAATTTGCCATCACAGTGCAAATCAGCACTATCTTGAGTTTTAAAAGCCTCTAAGCTTATGTTCAATCTTTTTCAGCCTTATTAATTCTTTTAATCAATGCTTTATAAACAAGTTACAGGAAGATGGCTTTCAGGTTCTATTATTTTGTTATTGATGCACAAACAGTATGGTTCCTTGCCAGGATATCTGAAGAGATAGCAGTGTCTTTACACAATATAACCCTCTACCAGGAATGGACTGTTCATTTTACCAGTGGGAACTCACGACTGAGTTGGACTTTCCATGCATAGAAAGATACACTGGACAATAATATATATTATTCAACTATGGCTAATTAGAATTGAAATACATGATTAAAATAGGGCTAAGCAGAATTTGTAACGGTTAACCCCCACCTCAACTACCCACTTTATACCTGGGCCAAACCAAATTTCCCAATATTGGAGCATTCGCCACTTGTAAATCCTATAAACCATCAAAAACAAAATAAGGAGTTAAACTCCTGGCAAGAATATGGGATATGGACCTGCAGATACAATTTCCCTTTAATTTTAAGCATGTTAAAATTAGAGGAACAGATGAAAGGATGTGTAGGGTGTGTAAATCCTACACTTAAGATAATAGCACCCTCCCTGTGCTAAATATACTAACCTCCCAGGCTGCCAAAAATAGGGCTGTCAACCTGCTAGCTGGGACTGACAATTGCCAATATCCATATTGGCTTCCAGAAAGTGTTGCAACAAACATTCAGTGTAAAACTACATCTGACCAGTCACTTGATTACTGAATATGTGGCAAAAACCACCTGGCATTAGCCTCATTGTATGTGACAGGAAAAATGACTTCCAAACTCTAAAAACTCAGCATTCCAAGAAGTCTGGCAAAAACTAAATCAGTTCACAACAAGTCACAAAGAGGGAGAAGGGAGATGGTAGTAAAGTGAGGCCTAAGCAAAGCTCTGAGACCTGTAAGGAAAAAGGAATCCTAAAACCCTAAAATCGGGATTCCAGAATTTCTATAACTGCCACTCAAGGACAGAGGTTCACCACATCCTGTTTCCAAACATCATGAGGAAGCCAGAGAGAGAAGCAGGAAGATCAAAATCACACCTAAGAAAATAGTGCGGAGGAGACAAGGACCTGCATCAACCCCTGCAGCTAGTTCAAACCATCATCCTCCCTAGTAAGGATTAATAGTGTTTCATTTTTCTTCATGTATATCAGATTAAAAATTAATGTGTTTGATAAGGTTTACAACAGTGGCTCCCAATCTTTTTAATACCAGACCAGCAAACCCATTTACAAACTTTTGGTGGACTGGTAACATGTTATTTGCATATTCATTATAGGAAGTTTGTGAATGGGTTTGCCGGTCCCCGTATAAAAAGCACCGGTCCCCAGAGCCCCCAGTGCTAACCCTCTAGAACCCCACATGCCTCCACTACCTCCCAGAGTCAGCCACTGGCCCCAGAGTCCCCTGCACCCAACCCCTCCAGGGCTAGCCTCTTGCCCTCAGAGTTCCCTAGTGCCAGCCCCTTGCCCCAAATGCCTCAGTTGTATTCTTCTGTTTCCAGAGCCCTACTGCACCCAATCCGCCCAGGAGCCCCCTGTGCCAGCCCACAGTCCCCAATATTTGACTTGTTTCCAGTGCCAGTCCTGCTCCCTCGCTACTAGTCCCACCCCCAGAACTGCCAGCTCCCCATCCTGGATGTCACAGTGCCACTCAGTGTCAGCCACCCACTCCCTCACCTAGCTCTGATGCTGCCTCCCAGCCGCCAGCTGAGTGCAGAGCACTTCCCTGCGCCACGGGAGAACTGCGCAGAGCCTGCAGCATGGTGGGCCCCTGCTGAGCGTCACGGCAGCTGGTCCCCTGCTGGATGCGGTTGCATCACTTGTGTGGGACTAAGCACTGCATGGAGCCCAGCTGTTGCCACAACCGAGCCTCTTGTTGAGCGCTGCAGCTGCCCATTACACAGCCCTGCCAGCCATGCTGGGTAGCAGCAGCCAGAGTTGGAACCAAGGTCGTGGTGAGTCTGCCCGAGTTGGGACAGCTTTAATGTGGCCCTGGCTCCAGCCACAGCACATGCTTGTCCGCCCAGCCACTCAACTTGCTGTGGGGAGCCCCAGTGGGTGGGTTCATTAGCATCTGGGGTTGTGGCCTGGCAGCGTGCTGCAGACAAGTAATAAACTGCATTTAAAAAATCCATTAGTCATCAATTCTTTCCTTCCAAAATTGGGTACACAGTCAACACATAAAACATTTCCTTTCCTTTCACAACTGTTGTTCTTCGAGATGTGTTGCTCCCGTTCATTCCATTTAGGCGTAGAGCCCACAGAAGAGCCCCCAGGAGTGGTGTTTGCATATCCACACATATATACCCCTGCTAGCCGGCTGCCCCCTCAGTTTCTTCTTGCCGGAATTCTCCGACAAAGGAGAAGTAGGGGGGATTTGGAATGGACATAAGCAACACATCTTGAACAACTGTTACATAAGATAAATAACTCTTTTTCTTCTTTGAGTGATTGCTCATGTCCATTCCATTTAGGTAATTCCCAAGCCGAACTATTGGAGATGGGGTTAGAGACTATCTAGAAGTGGATTGCAACACTGCTCTGCTGAATGCTGCATCATCACTGACCAGCTGAGCATAATGATTTGTGAAAGTGTGAATCAAGGACCAAGTGGCCATACTGCAGATATCTAGGATGAGCACCTGTGCTATGAAGGAAGCCATTGAGGCCTGGGCTCTAGTGGAATGGGCTGTACGAATAGGAGCTGGTACCTGGGCCTGGTCGTAACATGCTCGGATACAGAAAACAATCCAGGAAGAAATACACTGAGCCAAAATAGGGAGACCCCTCATTCTTTCTGCTATTGAGATGAATAGTTGGGGGGGACTTACAAAATGGTTTTGTTCTGTCTAAATAAAAAGCCAAGGCACATCTCACATCAAAGCTGAGCAGAGCCTGTTCTTTACCAGCAGTGTGTGGTTTTAGATAGAACGCTGGTAGAAAAACGAAACAAAATACAGGACTATGTAGCACTTGAAAGACTAACAAGATGGTTTATTAGATGATGAGCTTTCGTGGGTCAGACCCACTTCCTCAGATCAAATAGTGGAAGAAAATAGTCACAACCATATATACCAAAGGATACAATTAAAAAAATGAACACATATGAAAAGGACAAATCAAATTTCAGAACAGAAGGGGGATGCGGGGGGGAGGAGAGGGAAGGTAAATGTCTGTGAGCTAATGATATTAGAGGTGATAATTGGGGAAGCTATCTTTGTAATGGGTAAGATAACTAGAGTCTTTGTTAAGACCCCAGCGTAAAGTGTCGAATTTTAGCATGCATAACAGTTCAGAGAATTGAAAGAGAATCCTCTGTACTGTTATTCATGCTAAAATTCGACACTTTATGCCAGGGTCTTAACAAAGACTCTAGTTATCTTACCCATTACAAAGATAGCTTCCCCAATTATCACCTCTAATATCATTAGCTCACAGACATTTACCTCCTCCTCCCTCTCCCCCCGCATGCCCCTTCTGTTCTGAAATTTGATTTGTCCTTTTCATATGTGTTCATTTTTTTAAATGTATCCTTTGGTGTATATGGTTGTGACTATTTTCTTCCACTATTTGATCTGACGAAGTGGGTCTGGCCCATGAAAGCTCATCATCTAATAAACCATCTTGTTAGTCTTTAAAGTGCTACATAGTCCTTCATTTTGTTTCAGCTACACCAGACTAACACGGCTACATTTCTATCACTGGTAGAAAAATGTCCTGGTGAAAATTGAATTGACACATCACCTTAGGCAAGAATGCCAGATATGGGCATAACCTGAAATTATCTTTAAAGAAAACAATGTAAGGAAAATCCACGGTTAAAGCTCAGAACTCTGAAACCCATCTTGCAGATCTGATGGCCGGGGTATATATGTGTGGATATGTAGGTGCCACTCCAGGGGACTCCCCTGCCAGCCCAACAGATACTGCTGAGGGAAAAACCTTCTAACAATCATGCACGCTGTGCACGCACACACACACATAAATGGAATGGACATGAGCAATCACTCCAAGAAGAAATGAGAATGTTATTGCTGTTCACACCTAGCTCACTAGTTAAAATACACAACTGCTCCGTGACAACAAGTTACTGACATCTGGTGGCAACTTAGTTATTTGCATGTAATTATATGGTATACTTTGTGTAGTTCTTAGTGCACAGTTCACATGACAATAACTGAGACAAACCACATCCTCTGTGGCAAATTCAGAGGCCTAAGACTGAATGGGCATAGAGAAAAATCAATCCCTCTCAGTGTGTATTGTTCTCTCTCTGTCTGGTTAAGATATTGGTAAGGCATTGTGGGAAAGCTTGCCCTAATTCATTATATTTACCTATAATAGACAAATACATGTTTCTAAAGTTTACCTGAGTAGGTGGTACAGCAGCTGCTGGCAAAGGATTGGAGATCATTGGGCCAAAGATATCCAAGTCATCATTCAGTGTTGTGATGGTAGTGGTGCTTCCATTTGTAACAGGTACGTCAGGAGGGCCATCTTAAAAAGACAACAGATTCAAGTTTTAAAGTAGAAACTATTAAAACCAAGAATTTAATAATTGTAAAACATAAATATATTAATAAAATCACTTAAATTGACTCAGTGTTGTAAACAAACTTCTTAAATACAATATCTCAGATCTGCAAAGTTATGAAAGGACAATTCTAATTGAAAAAGAATGATATATTAATATAATTAACTGAACATTTAGATACAGTTTAAAGACTTCTACCATGGCATCTTACTCAGTGGAATGAATATAATTTTGCAAGCCTTTTCACAATTTTAGTTCAGTGTTCACCAGCACTACAGTATTATCAACGGAATTTAATAGTTATCCTGCATCGAGCTACCAAAATGTTTTGGCTATTCAACCTAAGAACTATCATGTACATAAATTTAAACTCCTTGGAGATATTAAATATTTGCTAATCCCTGAAGTTACTTACAATGCCATATTTATTCAAAATACTTAATACATATTCTTGATATGAAGAAAAAAGATGAAGGCACCTATCTTTTAAATGAGATATATTTATTTCTATAGAAGTAGAGCTGTACATTGTGCATGACAGCCATAAAATAATATTGTGTCTGACCTGTCCAGAGCCTACAATGTATAAGGTGTAAATTACATCATCCTGAAAGTCGACAGAAGTTGGAAGAAAGCATTATACAAAATCATGCTGTATAACATTTTAATTTTTTCACATTTAATAACTGATTTTCTAACAACTGCTATATGTGTAGACATGTGAGTGTGTAGTTTACATTTTCTAAAATATGCCTACAAATCATTTTTACTCCTAGTAGGATTCAGGATTATAATGTTGATGAGATTATACCAAATTAAAACATGGACATTACTGTTAATATCAACAGTGACTAAGAAGGAAGACATGTTACCAAAAGTAGACACATATGTAAAAGTATTACAAAATATACATGACATTTCTGGATCCCTTACTGACTATTTTGCATCAAAGTTTACATTATGTAGAAAAAATTGAAATCTTATGTAACAATATGTGATGCAATGTGCATTCTCCTAAGAAATTAACAACCTTCTTACACTGAACTTGGCAAATAATGAAGTTGAATGGATGGTTTTCATGGAACTTTATGCTGGTTACATGTACAAAAAATTAGGATGCAGATTCTATGAAGTATTTTGTCTTGAATAAAAGGAATCCAAGTCTGGGAATGTCCTTTGCTAAGAGCAGAAACAAAGATTCCTCTAGTGAGGGCACTGAAGTGCTACACGTCTCATCAAAATGGTCTCTCCTAACCAAAAGACAACAGGTCAAGCTACACTTAACAGCTTTGAAAAATGTGTTGCAGATCACGAAATAAGCCCTTCCCTGTGAAATGCAATCTCTCCTCTGCTGCAGGGAGAGTCCTAGCTTGAAACTCTTAGCTGCTGGGCTGGGAAGGGTCAGAACTTCTTTCCCTGCATAGCTGCTTTTGGGAGATATATCAGACCGATTTCTGGGTACTTCCCCCCAGATGCTGGAAGTTACAGAGCCTATGCAGCCGCCCCAGTGGTTCCTGTAAGCTAGAGGAGGTTTTTGGAGGTACATCTGATCTCCCCATGATGTTGGGAGCACCACAGTTGGGCTTCTAGCTGCCAATCGCTGACCAGGCAAGAGAGGGACTGGATTTCCCCTTTCCTTGTGTGACTGCTCTTGGGTACGTCTCCCAGCTACAACTGGTGGTGCAAGCTAAATCTAGCTAGAGGTATGAAAGGTAACAAGAAGATGTTTTACAAGTATATTAGGAGCAAAAGGAAGACCAAAGGCAGGATAGGCCCTTTGCTCAGTGAAGAGGGAGAAACAATAGGAAACTTGGAAGTGGGAGAGATGCTTAATGACTGTTTTGGTTTCTGTCAAAAAGATGGATGGTGACGGGATGCCTAACACAGAGAATGATAGTGGAAATGGGGTAGGTTTAGAAGTTAGAAAGAAAGAACAAGTGAAAAATTAGAAAAGTTAGATGTCTGCAAGTCACCAGGGCCTGATGAAATGCAACCTGGGATACTCAAGGAGCTGATAGAGGTGGTATCTGAGCCTTTAACTAACATCTTTGAAAAATCATGGAAGTCAGGAAAGATTCCAGAAGACTGGAAAAGGGCAAATATAGTGCCCATCTATAAAAAGGGAAATAACAGCCCAGTCAGTTTAACTGCTGTTCAGGAAAGATAATGGAGCAGGTAATTATGGAATTCATCTGCAAATATCTGGCAGCTAATAAGGTGATAGGTAACAGTCAGCATGGATTTGTACAGAACAAATCATGTCAAACCAAGCTGATAGCTCTCTTTGTTAGGATATTAAGCCTCGAGGATTAGGGAGAAGCAGTGGACATGGTATACCTTGACTTTAGTAAGGCATTTGACATGGTCTCGCATGACCTTCTTAGCAATAAACTAGGGAAATGCATCCTAGATGGGGCTAATATAAGGTGAGTGCATAACTGGCTGAACAACTGTTCCCAGGGAGTAGCTATTAACAGGTCACAATCATGCTGGACGGGCATAACAAGTGGGTTTTCCACAGGGGTCCATTTTGGGACTGGTTCTGTTCAATATCTTCATCAATGATTTAGATGATGGCATAGAGAGTACACTTACTAAGTCTGCAGATATCTACCAGCTGCTTTGGAGGATAGAGTCAAAATTCAAAATGATCTTGACAAACTAGACAAAAGGTCTGAAATAAATAAAATGAAGTTTAATAAGGACTAATGCAAAGTACTCCACTTAGGAACAATCAGTTTCACACATACAGAATAGAAAGTGATTGTCTAGGAAGGAGTACTGCTGAAAGGGATTTAGGGGTCATTGTGGACCATAAGATAAATATGAGTCAACAGTGTGACACTGTTGCAAAAAAGCAAACATGTTTCTGGGATGCATTAACAGGAGTGTTGTGAGCAAGACACGAGAAGTCATTTTTCCACTCTACTCTGCGCTGATCTGGCCTCAATTGAAGAGCTGTGTCCAGTTCTGGGCAGCACATTTCAAGAAAGATGTGGAGAAATTGGAGAGGGTCCAGAGAAAAGCAACAAAAATGACTCAATGTCTAGAAAACATGAGCTATGAAGGAAGACAAAGAATTGGGCTTGTTTAGTTTAGAAAAGAGAAGACTGAGAGGGGACAGGATAGCAGTTTTCTAGTATCTAAAGGGGTGCCACAAGGAAGAGGGAGAAAAAAATTGTTCTTCTTGGCCTCTGAGGACAGGACAAAAAATGGGCTTAAATTGTAGCAAGGGAGATTTAGGTTGGATATTAGGAAAAACTTCCTGTCAGGGTAATTAAGCACCGGAATAAATTGCCTAGGGTGGCTGTAGAGCCTCTATCACTGGAGATATTTAAGAGCAGGTTAGACTGACTCCTGTCATGGATGGTCTAGACAGTTCTTGGTCCTGTGTGAGGATAGGGGACTGAACTCGACCTCTCGAGGTCCCTTCCAGTTCTATGATTCTTCCTCCTCATCACTTGCTTTCTGTAAGGGGCGGCGAGGCACCAGCATGAGGTAGTACCCCCAAACCCGAAAACCACTGGCAAGAGGGGCATGGGGCCAGCCAGTAGTTGGTAGGGCCAGAGTCTCTGGGCATCCATGGGGACTAGTGGGATTGGGGGGGGGAGGGACTCTGGCATCTGCAGCAAGGATCCAAACTCTATTTTGTTCTCCCAGTGCATCTTTCAGGGACTACCTCCTCTTCCCCCCCCACACCTCACTGTCAGGAAGAGGAGCAACACAGTTGGAGGAGCAGAGCGAACAGGCCACGTTACTCTCATTTCTCCTTCTGCTGCTGGTGAGTGTGGGAGGTCTGACCCCTGCTACTGGAGTCTGTCTTACTAGTCCCCTGGTCTGCATCGCTTGGGAGTGGGGGGATTGGAAGAAATGTGGGGAGATGCGGGACTTGGAGCAGAGTGGGGCTGTCCCAGCATTGCCCCGGGCTGGGTGGGGCAGTCATGTGGCCAACGGCTTCACTTCTGCTTCCTGTCCCCATTAGGGGGGTGGGGATGGGATGGGATGTGATGTGTGTGTGAGATTGTATAGGGAACTACCCCCTTCCAGATGCAATTATTCAATTGTTTCAATAAAAATAAAGGTTAAGAACTTGATAGAATTTTTTTATTGGTATAGCAGCAGCAAATCATACTCAGGGCTCAGCTCACTGATTGACAGATTTGATCATCTGAGGTTGTTTTTAAGACAGTCATCTCAATTAGTAACCTCAAACTTGAGCATCACTGTCTTAAGTTAACAAAAACAAGCAACAAGTTCTGGTTTCACATGTCATTAACTGAATGTTAGCATGGAACATCTAGCCTCCATCTCCTGGAACCACCTGCAGTTGCAAGAAGCTCCACAGCAGCCGCCTTCAGTGCCCAGCTCTGTAGATAACACAGAAGTGATGGTGGCTATCTCTCAATCCTCCCTACAATAGGTTTGCAACACTCTCCAACTTTTTGGGGGTCAGGACCTCCATGATTACAACCCAGGAAATTTCAGATGAAAACTTCTAAAAACATGACACTGACCAATTTTCAAATCATACAGGAAGAGAATTGGCCAGAATGGACCATGAATTTGGTATGCCCTAATGATAAATATAATTAACACTTTTCTAGATCATTAAAGTTTATTTTATTCCTTTATCTTATTTTAATATTGTGTCTGAATATTTTTCCTTAACCTGTTTTAGTTGCGTCTATTGTGCCCCTGTAAATAAGTGTTATTTTCCCCTCAACTTATCTTCCTTTTTCAACTGCCATATGAAAAGAAAAATATCAAATTACTAGTCACATGCTCTGCAGCAATTCCCAGGGATCCAGAAAAAAGTTTTGTAAGGGGCTTTGTACAAACACACAATGTGATACATTACTTGACTTTTAGAATTTACAATCTAGTTTAGAGAAGATGCAACAAACAAGAAGAAGGCTGGTAAATGAGAGTAATGGTATTAATAACAAATGTTCATAAGTTCTTT